GTCCCTTCCAACCCTAGAAACTATGAAACTATGAAAGGGCACTGGGCCAGCAATGCTGCAGTAAGTGCCAGTTTCTGTGACAGGGTTTCCAGTTTCATTGGCATATTTTTGTAGTTTCTGTAGTTTGGCCTTAAATAATTCTACCTCCATACACACAAGTATTTACTTACCTCATTATGGGTCAGATTGTGATACTCTTACTCGTATAAAGTAACAACCAGGCTCCCCATCCTCCCCTTGAAAGTTCCATTGATTTCCATGAAGTTTCCCACAGAGTAAAATTGTCAGTAACTTGATTCACTGTAATACAGTATATGCTCCCAAGACCTTCTCTAGCTACTGTTGTTAAAAATAAAAAATCATGTTTCACACCTTTAATCTTGGTAAGTTGCAGAACTGTTGTTTTGAAAGATCTCCTTTATAAGACAGCTGTTTCTATATGTTTAGTTATTAAGCTGTCAAATATATTTGGATTTGCAAACTCATGATACAAATATTTTCAAAGTGACTGTCTCACCCCAGAGTTGCATGAGCCTTGGGGACAAGTGAAATTCATTTTTAGCAGAATTAAATAAACAATATATGTATTGTTCTCCCTTTTATTCCTTCCTTTTCTCTTCTCTTCTGTTACCGTTATACCATACTTTCATTCACTTCTTCACAATCTGCTTGTCCCCCATTCCTTTCTATTTCCTGATTTATTACTTCCATATCATGAGGGCTTAGTGTGGCCATTGACAGACAAATAAAAACAGCACATCTCCCAGCCTGGAACAAATTACATTATAGGAATCTGATCCCATGAGGTGGTAAGCACTCAAGGCTCTCACTGATATCAGTCAGAGGTGTATCGCTCCACCTCCCATCTACAAAGCCTATCACCTTGTCAGAGAAGAAAATCGGATTCATTAGACCTGGCTTACCCTTGAGAAAGCCAGCTTAGCTGTTGCTTATCACTTAGTTATCCTCTTGGAGTTTACAAATCAATTGTTTGTTGATATGCTCCAGTATCTGGGGAGAAGTTTCAGGGAGGAATTGGTTGAGAATGTGAAGGTGAAAGGTAACTTGAGTGACAGTGACCACAATATGATAGAGTTCAAGATCCTAAGGGGGGGAAGGAAAGAGAACAGCAGAATAAAGACAATGGACTTCAGCAAAGCAGATTTTATCAAGCTCAGTGAACTGATGGGCAGGATGCACTAGGGTTAGGGACAGAAATTACACATAAAACAGTACAAGTGAAACTGGTATAAACCTGTAACAGAACAGAAGTTTAGTACACATGGACCAGTTTCAAAATGGCCAAAATGGTTTAACGTAGTCCTGGATGGATGTAGTATCAGATTTAACTGATTTAGGTTAAGCCAGTCTATCAAATTTCTGTCCCAGATCCCCTCTTGGCTGTTAGGTCACAGTCCTCCAACATCCCAGGAGGCCTTGCAGTCTCCCCCCCAGCCCTTTTCTTGCAGGGCGGGTGGGCAAGCCTCAGTTGTGCCGTCTGCTGTAGACCTGGATACTGCTGTTCTCTGCAGTTATGCTGTCTGCTTTAGACCAGCTCTAGACCTAGATCTGAGCCTGCACCCAGCTCTGCACCTGGGCTGTCACACAGCTGAGGCAGCAAAGCCTCTGCTCCTTACTCTGTGTCCTGGCTGTGCCTGCCAGCCTGGCAGGGCAGGGTGTAGGGAACAGAGCCTCTCCTCGTCCCTGAGCCTTGATCTGCCCAGCTGCCCACCCTCTCCCCCACGCTCGGCCCGCCCGCACAGGTGAGAGATGGGAAGCAGTCCCCTGTCCTTGTCTCAGGGGGCTGCCCATGGAGGGGGACCCCCTGGAACTGGGACAGGGGACTGTTCCCCTCCTCCCACCTGTGGGGTTGAGGCTGGCTAAGCAGTGGCCAGACCACACTGGGGAGGGTTTGGAGGGAGAAATCCCAAAGGCTCCCAAAGCAGGGGAGGATGGGGCTTGGGGAACCCTGGGCATGTTGGGAGAAAACCCCTGAGGCAGCTCTGCCCATGTGGGCAGCTCTTGGTGCCAGGATGGTGGACTGCCCACCTGCAGGGGGAGACAGCAGGGGGTTGGGGGCATGTGGTGGATGGCCAATCAGGGATGGCCTGCCTCAGCAATTGCCTGTAGGCTGGGAGGTGTGCTCTAGCTCCCCACCCCCCACCTTCTGGCCTGGGCCAGTGCAGGCATCTGGCTGCCTTTCCTGACTGAAAACTCAGCGTGAGTTCAGTTAATTATCAGTTCAATCTGTGCAGCTTAGAGAGGCCTGCAAAGGTTGAATCAATTTCTCCTTGGGCTTTTGACCCTCTGTACTTAGCCTGGGAGGCAAGTCTAAGGGGAATAGGAGTCCAGGATAGCTGCCTGTGCTTTTAAAGGTGCAGAAGTCCACTATCCTCATGCAACAGAAGAATGGGAAGTGCTGTAGGAAACCACCCAGGTTAGTTAGTGATCTCTTCAATGAGTTGAAATGCAAAAAAAGGAATCCTATAGGAAGTGGAAACTAGGTCATTAATAACTTCTACACTTAGAAGTTCATCAGTAAGGCTGATTTGGAGTTGACTCCAGCACCCACTCAAGAGCTCTGGTGGATGTGAAAGAAGCTGGAACAGCCTTACTGGTTGGATTCTTGATCTGAAGCACACCTGGGTGGAGCATTTTTAGCCCTTTTCTTGTAGGACCCAGTACTGCAGCACTGTAAATGGTCATCAGTGTCTTCAGGCTTATGTCCTAATTTCCCTGCCTGTTCTCTTTCTGACACTCCCCTTCACTCTTCATCCTATCCTTCCCTCTCCCTTTTCCTTCATTCCTCTCCACTGTACTGCTGTCCACAGCTCTCTCCTCTTTCCTCTCTCATCTCTACTTCCTTTTATTTTGCATTCATCCTTCCTTCCGTAGTTCTTTCCCTTCTCACATTTCCCTTTCCCCATTCCTGTTTTTCCTATGCAAGAGAATTTTTGCTTATTGTTTCCAACCACATTAGGGAAGGGACAGAGGGCTTGGAGGGAGGAAAAAGAACAACAGGTAAATGTTGCTGCCAGGTCTATGTTGTATTGTCAGCTCTGATTTCTATGGGATTTTGCAGAATAAACTAGCACTAATCTGTATTTCAGCACTGCAGAGAAGGGAGGCCATGCACTGGATTGCTGCATGCTTTAATTTGTACTGAATTACTGTGTTTTTCTAACTGAACATTATAAATGTTTTGAAACATAATGCATTCTGAAATGGTGGTAGAAAATCATATTGTTAAAGCATTTCCCCCTGCCTACAAACACAAAAGAGACATAAAAATAGAATGTATAATTTGTTATAACTACAGTATACTTGTTATATGAGGGAGAAACCATGCCTTTGACATCTGTGATATAATGATGTTTGTCTATCTAATCGGTTTTATCTGTCTGTCTAATCTAATTTCATCTATCTGGGTATTTATCCCATGCTTATCACCATAGTACTTTATGCAATTATAAAATCCATTAAGTGGTTTAATTACTAGTTCTTTCACTTTTGCCCCCCCCATAGATATTTGTGAGAGGAAGAGGGGAGAAACTGTATTAGGTTTTGATTGCAGAAAAGGGAAATTGAATTGAGGTCTGTATTTGCTCTGCGAGTCATGGTTGAACTCCCTTTCTTAAGTTTTCATTGGGCACCTAAGTCCCTGGATCCTCCTATCTGAGCATCCTTTTCTCTATGTCCCAAACTGGGGACATTCATTGAGCCAACCCCCTTTTTAGCAGCTCCTGGTCATAGAAGGTAAGTCAAGTTATAGTGCATATACTGGATATGGAATGTGGAAATACCATCTTTTGTTTTTATGGCATGACAGTTTACTTCCCTGATGCTGTTCATTTAAAGTTAGGTTTCTGGTAAGTGACCAGAATGGTTTCCTTTGCTTTTTGCTGGATTCAGTTAGTGAGGACTCTCAGTGGGGAGAGTAAATGACTTCACAGGCCTTGCAGAGAGGGAATGCACTTCATAGGCTTTATGGTTCTGAAATGGTAGTTTGCACTATTGACCATTTAAATACCATTGAACATCTGATCATAGGATACAGGAAAATAATAGCCGTTGAGACTTCTGCAGACACATGTGCACCCACTGCCTCCAGTCACCCCAAGCAGCATATTGTAGGCTGGAATGCTGCCAGCCTGCAAGAGGAAACCCACACTTTCCTACATTTTTCTGAGACTTGCTCACAGCCTTTTCATATATTCTCACAGCCCACTTTTGGGTTGTGACCCACAAGTTGAGAAACACTGACCTAAAGCAATTTTGAAAATGTCTATATATATATTTTTGGAACACTCAGGAGTGGCTTTCCAGAGGAAGCCCTGTGAAAAACCTCCTGTCCATGGCCATAACGGGCACCAAACTGCAGAATGAAACTCAGGAATTCTACTTCCATATTCTATGATCAGATTACACTACTCTTTCTGTCTTCTCCCAAAACAAAGGCTGCTTTTAGCAATGGGCCCAGGGTGTGTGGTGGTGCAGCCACATCTGCCCATGCGGCACATGTACACTGAACTCTCTATCTACTACTGCAGTGAGGTGAGCTCCGCTACTGCAGTGAGTGCTCCCATATGCTCTCCACCCCCATTTTCAAAATCCTAGGTCAGCTCCAGATTACTTTGATTAAAAAATCAGCTTCTCGTTGAAGCTGGATGGGTACATTTTTACCAGCTATCCTTTTTTTTCTCTTTTGTTTTTAAGACTGGGAAGATATTTTGAAATGATCAGGAGTCCTTTCTGAAGAGCAAGGTTTTTTGTATTTCTGCGCTGTTCTTATATAGGCAGAGCAGAAGGAAAGCATGCCTGTACTCGTACCATGTGTTTGTGTCCTACTGAAAAACACAGCACAGCTGGGAAATCTAATTTTAGGCTCCTGAGACTTGGCACATTGACAATGTCCCTTTGCACTACTGATAATATACTTTTAGTTTACAAAATTAGTCATTAGAGGAACGTGTGCCAGGAATAAGCTTGGGGGTGATATTTGTCACAGTTACGAGGGACAGCTGTACCTCTGCTCCTCTTTTCTCAACTCTTCTTTCTTCCCAAACTCCCTCAGGCATGGGGCGTCATATCTTTGCCTTCCTGGGATGGACTGTCTCAGTCCCAGTGTTCAGCACATTCTAGATCCTCTGTTCCCTGTTCCTAATATATCCCATTAAGTTTGGTTTGTCCTTTTTGAGAATATCAGGGATGATCCTGCCTCGAGCTGAGGGCTGCACTAGATAACTTCACAGGGTCCTTTCCAACCCTACTTTATAATCCTATAAACTCATGACTGTTACTGAATGTGGTGACTGCAAACAGCCTTCTCAGGAAAAGTATTGTTTAATCATAACAGTTGGAAGAAGACAAAGCATAAAAGGAGAGCTTTTTAGAAGAGTGGTGCTTATCTCCTGTCTGACTACAGAACCTTGTCATGCAGTCCACTGGGATCCCCATGGGTCCAAAAATTGGGCAGTCAGTGTGGTGGCAGTGTTAATTGCTGCTGCCTCCTGCCAGATTTACAAACCAGCGAGCTGGATAATGTGGCCCAGCGTGCTAGATTGGGTGTACAGGGCTAGGGTGGCATGGGGCCAAGCCAAGACAGCATGGAGCCTAATCTAGGAGTGCAGGGCCCAGTCCAGGCTACACAGAGCCTGATCAGGGTAACATGGGCCCCACACATCTATCTCATGGGGCCCAAAGGTTGAGCACCAGGGTTTTAGAACAATAAGTAGTTTATATCTTGTCTAAAACATTACTGTCTTCCCTCACCTAAGCCTCCCCTCCTCCCCCCACCCTCATATCTAGGTGTATCTTTCTCTGCCCACTCTTTGAGGGACTTTCTTTTTTTATTTGGCCCAAGTTCTTTGTTTTAGGTTTTCTGCCTGGATTTGAGTTCCCCTGTGGAAGCTGAGCTACCTACCTCTCCCTGTCCATCCCCCTCACCCCCATTTGCTAGGCTAGATCACTGAACAGAGTGTTAAAAGTAAACCTTGAAAACAAGTAGCACCTTTCATTATTTTTATGCATCAGTAAATGCATAGCTTTCTGAAGCTGTCGTGGCTTATTCTCTGTAAGTGCAGCTGACCCCTTGTACTCATACATTAACACTTCCCAATATAAATTCTTACAGAGGCACTCCAAACCCAACACAACACTCATCTCTCCACATTCAAATCTGAGTTTTTCCCCTCTTCTTGTAAAGCCCAAATGTCAGCTCAGACCCCTGGAATAGCTGGGAGGGACAGGATCAAAGCTCTTCAAGGCATGAACAGACAATCAGCACAGTTGAATGGTAGTTCCCCTGTGGCTGCTGTTTAAATTAGCAATTGTTTTTCTTCCTGCAGTCTTTTTCATGCCACTTACAACCAGCCACGGATGTTCATAGATGTATAGCTACAGTTGAACACAATGTCCCCTTGCACTGGATCCACCCTGAAGGGCTAAGCTTGTCACATTTCAGCTTGCCCTGAGTCAGTGCGGACAAGGGTATCAGAGGGCTGTATGGGGCTGTTCATTTTCAGAGTTTCTGCAGTAGGTTGGTATAGAGAGATGTGTGTATGTCCCATGAAAATTAGAGAATTCTCCAATTTTTAGTATCTCATGGGGTTTTATCCAATATATACAGCTTTCCGCACACCATTCACTCAAATTTTTCTTGAATCATTGGTTCAGAACCGTCCAGATTACATTAAGATTTTCTTTCAGCTATTAAAGTATGCCTTGAGAAAATAATTCTGAACAAAAGATGATATACACTAGCAGCCAAGGTGATGCTATTAAACTATACTGTCCCAGTAGATTACCTTTATTAGTTTATCATTATTTATTCATATTATAATAGCAGTTGGGAGTTTCAATCAAGATCAGATCCCTGTTGTGCTAGGCACTGGGCAGCCCTGACAAGAAGAAAAAAACTAATTACAAACTCTTATGGTTTAGCATGTGCAGTGTTGACCCATTTATGAATACATAAGGTGTTTTCAAAAGTGGGACCTAGCTGTTATACTCACCCATAAGAAAGTATTGCTTACTTCTAATAAACCACTGCATATCTTTACAACCATTTTACATAATTCAAATTATTTCCTTCATGGACCAAAATCAATTATATATTTATAACTGCTATCAGATATATTATGTTTACAGTTATGAAAGGTTCAGTTTCAGTGGAGGGTGGGGTGCCATTTTGTCTATGGAAGAAGCTTTTGACTTTTATATCACAGCTTGCTCATTTGTGTTGGACGGGATTTCAAGGATTTCAACCTTTTGTCTAAATCGTCCTACCAAAATGGAGATATAAGCCTGATCCAAACATTCATAGGGTCAAGGGATCTTTCAAACTCCAAATTTAATTTGGATCCAAATTTTTGCAAATGACCTCTGTGCTCATACATTTTTTGAAACGCGGCTTAGAATACGGCCAAAATTTGAGTGTGTCTAGACCTAAATTTTGGGCCTAGCCCTTCAACTCAGCTACTGCAGCAATATGTGATTTACAAAGGATGAATGTACAGATGCATGTGGATCTTTGTACGGAGGCAAAAAGTCTGAGAGTTACTACAACAGTAGGGAGGAATAAGTGAATGTAGTTCAAGATCTTTTCCTAACTACATTAAAAACACCAAATAAAAATTGCAACGGTTCTGCTTGTTGGTTTCAGGTTACCGCATGAGATTAGGATCTAGCACGGACAAAAAAGATTCAGGTCGCCTTCATGTCGATTTTGCTCAGGCAAGAGATGACTTTTACGAATGGGAATGCAAACAAAGAATGCTGGCCAGAGAAGAACGTCATAGGCGCAAAATGGAAGAAGATAGGCTACGGCCTCCATCTCCTCCGGCAATAATGCATTATTCTGAACACGAAGCTGCTTTGCTGGCTGAAAAATTGAAAGGTAATGGACATTTGTTGGGGTGGGGGGGTTGTATTTTTAACTATATTATTTCATAAGAGCAGAAACCACCCAGTCATAAGAATACTGATAAAGACAACCTCATCATAAACAGACTACTAATTTCTCTTTAATATAATTTATTATTCATCCTTTTCCCTTCCATCCCCCAGCTACTGCTATGTATGATATGGTAGGCATGTACTTTTCAGCTATATGTAATAACTGTCCTTCTAGCAATACTTGCATTTTCATTTTAACAATGGGGTCTTAACTTACAAAACTTTTTACACTTCTTTCTTTTCCTCTGTTATGCATGAAAATACATAGTAAATAAATGCCTAACTTGAACATATAATCCACATCAAATAAGACAATCCTTTAAAATCATAATTATCCCTCTTGGAGTAATTAACATGACAACTTGTTACCGGCCATCTTTTATACTTAAGATCCAATTCTACAACCACGTTGAGTAGCGGTATACTTCCATTGAATTTAGTAGGATTATTCAGTGTGAATATTCTGCTTTATGTAGGCCCTTGTACCTCTTGGATCACTAGAACCTGAACATCTTTCGCTATTATATTTAGCGATGGGACTTACATCTATTGGAGGCAGTTCATTCTTTCATCGTCTCCTGAGGGGAAGAATTGCATGTTCAAGGAAGTGTTTTGTTTTGGTAGGGTTTTGTCTTGTTTGCTTGCTTGCTTACTTGTTTGGTGTTGTTCTGTGTACACATGCTGAGTAAGTACTACTCAGGGTAAGGCTTGAAGATTTCAGCCTCTAATAGTTAACATATAAATCAGACTTGGAATCAGATGGGAAAATGTAAAGAAAATGGCTCATCCCTTCCTCTTAACTTTGTTTCTGTTTTTATTTTTCAATATTAAGCTTTTAGCAGCTGTGGTTGGCATCCTTTCCCCTGAACAGTAGCCGAGCATCTTGCCTCTGCTGTGTGCCAGGTCATGTGAAAATATGGTTCTTGCTGCTGTTTCAGAATTGCAAATATCCAGATTAGATTTGGACTATCTTGCTGTCAATACACTGACATGTTGTGCTAACTATGAAACACATATTTAGAAAGTAGGATAAGGACAGTGCACTCTATTGTCTCTGCAAATATGGTGCCTGCCATGTATATTTGTAATTTATGCAGATACAATTCTAATATATATGTGGAATTAAATGCAGGGCACTATGAAATCACAATGGTCGGTTGCACAATTCAAATCACAACTGAGCAGCTACAGACTAATCTTACTGACTTGTCCACAGCCCAGGACAGTTCTGCTCTTTAAGTGCTTACAGATTCTTTGGTGGATCTGTCAAAAACTTTCTTTGCCTATTGCATAACTGCAATGTAAGACTTCAAAGAAAAATCACTGCTGCAGCCTCTTGGACCTGGCAGAAAAACTTTGCCTCTAGCATCTTAAACTTCTTCCCACTCATTTCCTGCACTCCAAAACAATATGGGGAAGAGGGTATGAAGAGCTACTTCATACTGGCGAAAAACAAAATACGTTGCATAATCCTAGGCAGCTGATAGAGTGGAATGTCAGCTAACTCTTACTCTGCCTCTGTCATCCTGAAATGTATTGATATGATCAGCGCTTAAAGTGCACTTTGGGAAGAAAAAGGCTGAGCAGAGGTTATAATAAAGGTCTGAAAAATCTTCCCCCCTTCAACACACACACACACACAACGTGGACGGCCTGCCCCCCGCCCCCAGCACAGGAACCTGTATGTATGCAGTTAGGAGGGGGGCATTACTGCACATGTGCCATACACAGCTGGGGGGAGTGGAGCTGTGCTGCCCAGCATCTCCCTTCACTGTGGGCATTACATGGTCAACTCTGTAGCACAGGCAACCCAGGCCCCCGAACACAGCTGGGAGAAATAGGCTGCTGCTTGCACAGCATGCATGATTGGAGGAGTGGAGAGCCAGGGTACCCAATACCACCCACCCACTGGGTTTATTGTAGGCAGCCCAGCTCCCCACCTCTCTCACATGCCACCTCAGCAATGGCACCTGAGCTCTCCCATGCTCTTCCAGCCTCACGCATCACCTGCCTTCAGTGCAGGCAAGCTCCCTTCTTTGCTATGCACACAGCTTGGGCAGTCCAGCCCCCTCCTAGCTGCTGTAGCAAATGCAAATGGGCAGGGGCCAGGCAGGAGCCTACAAGCCACAGGCTAACCCTTCTGTGGCCCCTGTGTTCTAAGTATCTACTCTGACCATTGCCCAAACCAGGATGCTACGCTAAATTGGTCAACCCAGTATGGTACTTATGTTCATAATAAGTTTGATGATTAATACAAATAAGGAGTCATAAAGCCCTGTGTGAACACAAGATCCAGAAATTGTTTAGCTGTGAGAGTTATCAGAATTAGCTGGAATACTCACTGGATAAAATGGCACTTAATGTTGGAACTCTGTATCTGGAAGTGAAGTCAACATAGTAGATTAAAGGATAAGAGAAGAATTTGTCAGGTGACCATAAGATGCTAAATTAACCCCAAAGAATTAACATATGGACATGGAACAGTCAGAATCAAAGATTTTGTCACCACCACAGAACTCAGATCAAATGAGGATCATTGTGGTTGGTGATGCAATGTGGCTTTCTGTGCACTAGCATGGGTTCCATCGTATTTACCTCCTGGGATTCGCATGCAATGGATATGATCAAAAGAATCTAGTTTTGGAGGAATATGAACCACTGACTTTACAGGCCTGGTACAAATGTAATGGGCACACTATAACAAACTGAATTTTACTAATATCATCATTTGTGCTCTAATACAGTCTTGGAACCCTAGTTATGAAGCAAGATCCCAAAGTGTACAAAACAGCAGTCCCGTACCCAGAAAGCGTACAGTCTAAACATAAGACAAAGACTACAAATCAATAACAGACAGATGGAGGAATACAAAGAAACAGTGAAGCAATATTAGTATGATAGACAATAGTCACAGCTCAAGAACAGCCTAACCATTGTCAGCCATCTGGAAATAACTGTGCCATCATAGACCTTGCAGTGCCATCCAGACAAGTCTTAGTCAGAAACCTCATCCTTAATTTAATTATTGTCGGTGAGAACTTGATTTTTGATAATATATTGATCTTGCAGGATTAACTGAAGAATATGATCCCTGTTGTAGAATCATAGGTTTGGAAGGAACTTCAAGGGTAACCTAGTCCACTCCTTGAACAAATACAGGATGTGCTTTAATCCAATGCCCACTTCCTGAGAGAAAATACCAAGCAACACCAATGGATTAAAACTGTACATTTCAACCTATTCTTATTATGCTTAAATCTTGACATAATATTATTTGGTTTCCCCATCACAAAAATATCTGAGCTCTTTTCAACTCTTCTTTCCCTCTTGAAGCTTTGCATCCCTAGCAGCATGTAGTGGAGTCACTCATCTCCTTTTTTGTTCTCAGGTTTTGTGGGCTGAATTCTTTTAAACTAAGCTAACATTAAAAAAAAATCTTAAATCAGTATGTAAGCATGTCTCTTTCAGTTACTGTGTTTTCTTTTCTCTCTTCCTTCCTTGGTGACAATAATGCCTCTTTTTAGGCTTAAAAACTAAAATTTTGCAACTGCACACATAATCTCATAAACACAAAGGATTGATCATGTTGCAGGTCTAGCCTGCAGTAGGAGGAACAACCTCTTCTCTTGCTGTGCAAAACATTTAAAACATCAAAAGTGCCATATGGAAGAGACCAATGGTCCATCTCATCTGCTGTCCTGTTTCTGATAGTAGCCAATGCCAGATGCTTCAGAGGAAGGCAAAAAAATCTCATAACTCACATAGTCGTGCATTATTGTACCATGGGGGGATATATATTTTTTTTGACCCCAGCTGGTGATCATCTTATACTCTGGAACATGAGGATTGATAATGCTTTCACATCTTAGCATTACGTATGGAATTGAAAATGCCATTTTTGCTGATACAAATGTTTTTCTGGTTCAAGGATGCTTGGCTGGCACATGGTGTATACAATAGATTGCTTTGTTCCATTCATAAGCAAAGACCAAGGCTGAGCCTTGAAAGAGCAGTCGGTGGCAGGATTCTCAGGCAATGCCCAAGGCATAACTAGAGGTTGGGTGTGTGTTCTTTGTTTTTCTTTATCAAGAAAAGAACACTTGGGCTGTTTGAACTCTAGGAACTGAGCTCTTGCTGGCATTGCCTGTACAGCCACTTGTTCGTCTGCTTTTAAGAACATCAGCCACTGCTATTGGAAAGGTTGTGGTGAGGTTTTAAGAACTGCTGTAACCAATGCTTTTGTTGTTTGGATGAATCTCTGCTGAAAATCAAGATCTGTCTGCCATGCTAGATGAAGCTTAAAACAGCTGCAAACACTTTTCCATGACCACTGTGTGCTCTTTCTAAGACAGTATCCAGATTTGTATTCAGGAAACAGGCTAGTGCAGTTGCTACTATGCTTTTTTCCCTGTTTTATCTTCTTCTAAAGCATTCAAAACAGTAAACTGCTCCATGAAAACTTTTAAATGCACAAGGCCCGATTCTCTTTTGCATTATGGTCCCTTTCCACCATCCTAACAGTGTATAGAGGTGATAAAGTCATCGTAAAAGTAATTTACTCCCATGTTAAAGTCCCTTTACTTTGCCGCAGCAGTATTAAATGCCTTAAGTATAAATGAGAATTGGACTTCTGAGCTGTAGGGATGGCTTGATTTAAGTTTGCTGAAACTACACATTGGTTTTCTGCACTGCTTCCCCATTACCAATATCTCTCCTAGGTTTCATGAAATATTGTGGTCACATTCTATCAATATCATATTTTGGTTGGACCAAAGTATTGATACAAGCTCTGTTCACAGTTTGAAAATGTTACCCACTGTCCCAAATTCCTCTTGAATTCCAAGCATTAATGGTTATTTCTGCTAAAATGGCAACATAATAACATTCTGCTAAAATGGCAACACAATAATCATTGCCAACAACAAAACTAATGTCTGTAAT